GGGACATCGGTACCTAGAAATACCAGGTGCGGTGCCCATCCCACCCGATATTTTCTGCGTTTTTAGTTGTTCTTCTCGCAGACTTTCACCAGAGGTGAATAACTACGACCATGATCCGAATATGGGGTTGGCTGTTAGCAGCAGCCTTCACCTTTTGTGAGTTTCCCCCCTACATGCAGCCAAGCGACCAGACTGTAAAAGGGGGCTAACCAGGGACAGTCAGTATTGCTGGCAATTTCGTGTTTCTCCTAGGTTGCAGCTCACCGGCAACAGTGAAGCTCGCGCTCAACCGAGTCGAGGTCGACACACTGGCTCTGTCCCTGCTGAGATTGGCATACAACGACACCAGGAACGCCTCGCAACTGCTGCATCCCGGGCTTCCTGCCTACTGGTACTGGGGCACATCGGGAATCTGCAGCGTCACCGACTCACAACACCCAATTCACTGCCGGCCTGACTTTCCAGCGACCGACGACCTTTGGACAATCGTTTGGAAGTCTGCGGGAGACCTCAATATTGACCAGGTTCAAGAAAACGGCATGCGATTGTCCGACGCCTGGAATGATGCCCTCATGGCTCTCCCTTCATCGACAATCCGAGACAACGAATACAAGGCCATCCGCAAGACCGAAGCCAGCATCGGCCTCTGCATCGTTGCTGTCATATTTGACTTTCTCATACCTCCGTTTGCGCTTTGGAAGCTCAAGAAGTCTCAAATTGCCAAAGGCAAGGGCAAGGGGCGGACAAGCAAATCCGTGTACTTGGCGTCACTGTTCAGCAGCTTACTGGCCATCGCTGCTGGTGTGCTCGCCATATCCGCCATGAAGGACGGCGTGCGCAGTATTGTCGATACGGATGGGTTTGAAGCTGGCCAGGTTCGGGGACTCAGTGGTGATGGACCTGGCATGTTTGTAAGGGGCACTGGGTTGCGGCTCGCTGAAGCCGCGACTGGGGTTGGTCCTGGAATCTGGCTTTTTCTTACTGCCGCCGGCGTGAGATGCTTACACTCTGTGTCTGGTCTTGTTATTGGACTTTGCAGGCGTTCGTAACCGAATGTATCTCCGGTGTGTGGTACCATGAACGTCGGCGACATGTCGGCAATGACAATAACTCTCCCCCCAACTTCTGCATGCACCCCAGTGACGTGTGCTCTCTCCCCGCTAAAAGTCATGCACCTGAAACATCGTGGGGTCGGGGTATTTCGCCCTTGCAGCAAACCTAACCCACGAAATGATTCTTCCCCTGACGCCATTGGCTGTGAAGTTTCCCGTGATAGCGGAACACAGCACCATTGGCTGCCGTGAATATCACTCTTCAGCTGAAACTTTACCACTGCAGCTTTCTGCATGTCAGAACCCAATGCAGCATCCTCTAGCTCGGATACCATGATTTGTTGCCTGCGGACATTCAGCCCCTGATTTGACGACAACATGATGCCCAACGCACCAACCCGGTCTTGTCGTGGGGTATCCGTGAAAGAATCCACCGGTTTTGGGATCATTCCTCGATGCCACTTCGCTCGGGGAAGCCCAAGCAAGACCGTGACAACAATCAACTCACGTTTGGCCGAGATAACAGCAGCCGAGCCATTCAGGGGCAATCACTCCCAGTCCACTCAAATCCCGAGACAGCCACATTCAAATAAAGAAGCCCTCCAGCTCATCAACCCAAACTCTAAATCCAGAACCCAGGTTCCTCCTCTCCCCTCAACTTGCACTCAACTCCTTCCCTTCCAAACCCCAAATCCACCACCCACTCACACACCCAACAACAACCTCATCCCACCTCAATAACCACAATGAAGCCCACCATCCTCCTCCTCCTCACCTTCACCACCCTCACCCTCTCCGCCCCGGCCAAAGTCCCGCCCACCAACTTCCAACCTCTCAACACCCCAACCAAACGCGAACCCTCCCCATCCCCAGGAAAAATCCAACCCATGACTCTCCCAAAGAGCATCCCGGGGAAGCAGAAACGTTACCCTGCACCTGAGCCTGAACCGGAGAAGTATGTTTCGGCTCCTGTGGTTCATGTGCCGAAGGGGAATGGTGGGCATGAGAAGAGGGAGGCTGCGCCTGTGGCGGAACCGGAGAAGTATGTTTCAGCTCCTGCGGTTCATGTACCGAAGGGGAATGCTGGGCATGGGAAGAGGGAGGGTGCTTCTGAGTCTGGGGTGAAGACTGTGAGGGGGGTTCGTGATCCGAGGGGGGTGGGTGTTGGGGGTGTTTGAGAGGGAGGTTGGGATGTGGGTGTGTTGGATTCAGAACCGATAGGGAGTTGGGTTGTAGGTTGAGGTCTCATGGGGTATTTCAAGGCGGGTGGTGCATGTTCTGCCGGTCAGGGTGGGTTTGGCGATTGATTTGAGTTGGTGGTTTGGTGAAGAGGTTTTCTGAGGGGTGGGAAGTCCCAACGGCAGCGGAGGAAGCCTTCATTTGCTTGATCTCTGCATGGTGTGGTGCAATGCCGGGAGAGGTAATGCTGTACACTCTGGCGGTGTGATGTGGTCACTCTCCTTCCGATGCGACGTAGTGAGGGTTGACGACTTTGGGGCGATTTTCTTGATATTTGTTATTTATCTCGTTTCACTCGAATCGATCAGACTCGAGAATGTCGCATCTGAGTCTCCCAATGGACGGAATAAGCTTCCATTGCTGCGAGGCGCCAGCGGCGGCCATAACAGAGTCGTTGCTGCTTGCCCTCTTATCCGGTACGACATCGTGATAACAAGAGTGGTGGTAGAACAGTGACTGCCTCCCCTCCGACACTCTCAAGAACACAGTCTCTCGGCCCGTGATGAGAGCGTCCACGGGGTCCATGACGATGGACAGATTGAGCTCCTCGCTGAAATGCGCTGGTTGCGCCCATCTTGCGCGTAACACCTGGTCGTTGAGTTCACGCAAGGCTGTTTCCATTGGCACTGACGACAGCCTGTCCTCCCAGCCGAATGACTTCCTCTCCGAGTCATCCATCACTGTCCGGTAGGCGAAGACTTGACAGTAGAAGCGGTTGCTTCCCCTTTTCAGGGATCTCTTCCAGGCAATGAAGAAGTATTTTCTCTCGCGCACTCGTTCGTCAGTCTGCGAGAATCCGAGACTTTGACTTCCCAACAAGACAGAGCTGACCTCGGCGGTGTCGTCTCGCGCATGCATGTTAAGCGAAAGAACGTTGTCTAACTCGTCCCGATTGGATAATTTGGGGTGGATTACGAGATCCGACCAGTGCTGTAGCTTGAGTTGTTCTGAATCGAACAAGAGGATGACTACGCGACTGGATCGCGTTCTTGAGGGCGAACTTGAACCGAGAGAGTGAACTTGTAACAATCTTCTCCTCGTCATGATGTCCGGCTTTTGGGCCCAATGGTGCGTCTGTTCATGACCAGCAGCGGCTGCAATTCAAGCTCCGAAGCCGAGTGGTCGAGAAAGACCGGACGGCTGGGAAACAGCGCGCGCCAAACGTGCCAAACCCTGCCTCTCATTTCACCTTCAACCTGAATGGCTGCGACAACCCGACGAATGCTGCTTGGACCATATGGTTTCGCTCGCAGGAGCACAAAGAGGAAATTTGAGTCCGAGGTACGCAGCACGGGCAGAGTGATGGAAAGACCTGCGTTTGTTATGGAGTAGATTGATATTTCGTCCGAACCACTCAGGCTGTCGTTGGTGAATCAGAAAAGCGAATTTCGGCCCCAAACTGCTTCGGGGAGGGCGCCAAGAGGCGCGTCCAGGTGGCCGGTACGTCGGGTGTCCAAGTCCAGCAAAATATCGTGTGGTCGTTAGACTCCTTGATGATTTCGTTTTGAAGTCGAGTAAAGGCCTTGGTTCCCTCGCCGTACAACAGCGGGATGTTGATGTCAAATAAACCCAGCATACAGTAGACCATGTCTTCGACCCGCGTTGTTGTCCGTCCTGCCAGCCATGACATCTTCATCGAAACAGGGGCACTTTCGACAGCCGTTTGCCCTGTAAGGTACCCCAGGTATATGCCGGTAATCGAGGTGATGGCATCTGCCATTGCACCGTCTCTGGACCCCAATTTGCTCCAGTCGCCGGCGTAGAAGGTCACGGCACTAGGTGCCAGTAATTCTTGAAGTGTCCACCCGCGTGTAAACCAGCGGCTGTTCCGCAACTGGGCCGTTAGTGTTTTGTCATCAACCTCCTCCTTACTGGAATATGGCACGTCACTCAGGTAGGCGTAGCAGATTTCGGCTCTTTCATACCACGTAAACATTGAGTTGATGGCCTCGGTCAGCTCGGCGGAGCTGGTCTTATCGATGCAGTTGGTGTCAACCCATACCCATTTGAACCCGTGTTCGCGCGCTTTGGCACAGGCTCCATGGATCTTTGGGAAGCCTGCCTTTTGTGAGGCCTTATAGAGGTCGTTCCACTCTTGAAACGTGACTTCCTCATCGCCCCAGGTGTGCGAGAGAATCGCATATTTGGGGATCGCATCGCCGAAAAACTCGGACAGTTCGAGAGTCTTGGTGTTGATCAACCGCATCGCGATGTAAATGGGGCTGAAGTGTTGGTTTGCCGGAAAGTTGTGAATGTGGCGAGAATCGCCGACTGGAGGACTTCAAGGTTGCGGCTCCCACAGCCGCGATGCCAATCCCCACTGCCCATTGGCCGAATCCACGATGCGTCATGTGGGGAACTGCGGACATCGAAGGTAGCTCTTTCTCTAGGCACCAGTCCTCCAGCCTTAGATTCACGCAGAATTGAACCTCCATCCCCAGGCAACTACGAAAAGTCCCACCCTTACATCCCACCTGCCAAACCCACGCAGACTAATCCAAACAACTGAACAAGGCACCTGAATTTAGCCCGCACCGGATTCAGACCCAACGCTCCTTGGCAAACGTGTTGTCGACAGAAGACGCTGTCAAAGGGGGGAGTGGAACCATTGCCAACCGCTCTCCCAGGAATACCCACCCGTCGCATATAAGTCCCCATTCCACGCCAAGCTCCCATCAAATCACTACGGTGGATGCACACATCCACAATTCTTCCGTAGTATAGTGGTCAGTATGTGAGCTTGTCAATTGTTGATTTCGCTCGAGACCCGGGTTCAATTCCCGGCGGGAGAGAATACTTTCTTTTTTGCATTTCTTTTGTCTTGCTGTCCCTGAACTAACGCACAGTACGCCGAGGGACAAGAAGCTTGAAGACTTGCGCCTTTGCAGCGGCCAATAACTACCTGCGACATCGCTCAGCCGGTGTGCTGCTTGGCATCGGCGACTTTCGCAAAGCTCATTGCGCCCCCAACTTCCAACAGAAGCGAGGTCGCTTTCAAGTTACCTAACTTTCACCAAATGTTCTCAGGCTCGCCGAGCGGCCCCCAAGCTTTCACTGCTGGTAATGATAAACATCGTTTACTCAGCTGAGACACCCCCTGCCTTTACATGCATGCCCTTCTGTCCGGTTCGGTGGATTCTTGTTCATGTTGACGAATGAAGATGCCAAAACGTGAGAGTAGACTGCAAGCTCGGGTGCCGACGATAAGGTGTATAAACTCAATCAGTGCAGTGCGGGGATCAACAATGCAAGCAAGAACCAACAGAAAACTGCCAACTATAAAAGCGAGGGTTCTCCGTCGTCTCATTCCATCCTGTATTTCTCACTACCTTAGACACCTCGACATCCAAAGCGAACGAATTCCATCACGTATATCCCCTAGAAAGTTTCACATTCGACGTTCCAACCCATCAAAATGAAGCTCCTCGTCCTTCTCCTCACGTTCACTGCGTTTACCCTCGCAGCCCCTGCTCCCTGGTGGGACGCACCCGAGTCTTCTGGCGGCAACTCGATCGAGAATGGAGGTGATTCCTCTGGCGGATCTTCGAGCGGGGGCAATAGGGACGAGAGTTCTGGGGGGACTGGTGAAGCTGGTGAGCTTGCCGATGAGAGTGTGATGACTTGCGCTGACTTTTTGTCTCAAGGGGGCGATGCAAAGTTCTGGAGTTAATGCTGGTGTTGGTTTCATTGGCGTGCGGTGGTTCGATATACGTAGCGGAGGGTGTTGGAAGGGTTGATGTCAATGTGGATGGTATCCTTCGAGAGTGAACGCTATGAAGGGGGATGGATGGGAGGAGTGCGGTTGTGGTTAGAGGCATGTGGGAAAATCACGAAATTCACATCACATTCATTCCAATGTCACTCAGAGCCATGAGAACCTGGAAATCATCTCCGCAAGAAAGAGCACATTTCATTACCAAGAAGACGGCCAGAACTTGTACACAGAATGAGACCATGACTAGGAAACATCCATCCTCTCCCCAGCACTCAGAGATAGACATAGCACAGCGGCGTTCCGCCAAGCGTGTTCATCAAGTCCTTGATCTTGACGGGCGCAGCAAGCGGCGACAAGTCAATGACGTCCTCGACAGTGGTGTTCGCACTAGGGAAGATATCCATAAAGACGTTGGATCCGTGGACACCCTGTCATCCTGTTAGTCCCAAGTTCGTCGTATGTGAAGACAGAAAAACTCACCTTGCGGTTATTAAAATCCAACATCTGCCAGATCCAATAAACGCGATCAACCTGTCCGTGATGCAGATAGAAAGCCGGGTCGCCAGGGCTGATGAACGGGTCGCCTCCGGGGTCGCCACCAATGATGTAGTGGCCGCCGCCGTGAACACCCAGCTCGCCGTGCACGTAGCGCGGATCAGCCTGCATGTGCGCCTGGAAGAGCTCGACGGTGTTGTATCCAAGAATGAGGCTGGTGGTGTTGTAGAACGACGTGAAGCGCTTGGCGACGCCGGCGTTGAGATCGCGCTTCAGGCAGCGCGTGTTGCCGACGTTGAGCGGGTCAGGGGCGGCGTAGAAGTCGGTGGTGCCGTACTGCGGGAGGGCGGCGGCGCCAATGTTGATCTCGAGGGCGCCAAAGGGGCCAGTGGTGACGCAGCCGCCGCCGGTTCCGGGGGGCAGGGGGATGGTGGCGTTGGGGTTGAGGGGCTCGGTCATGATGAGGCCCGGGTGCGGGAAGTAGGCGCCGTTGCCGCCGAGGGAGGTGGCGGAGCCGTCGAAGACGGGGGAGGCGGCCGGGTTGTTGACGTCCAAGCCCCACTCCCAGTAGGGGGCGGCGCCCGTGTAGCCGCACTGCTGCAGGTGCTGCTCGTAGACGTGGGTGAACCAGCGGTGCCAGATGAGGAAGGAGCCCTGGATTTGGTCAGTGTTGTGTCTGGGTGGAAGAGGAGAGGAATAGGGGGGAAGTGGAAATAGGGGAGAGTGACATACAGTCAGGTGGATGAAGATGGTCTGCTCAAAGTGAATGACGATAAAGTCGTCAAACAGCGACTTGGATCCGGGTGCCCTGCCGGGAGCCAGGATCGAAGGCTTGTTCTTCATGCACTTGACGGCGGCGATGTAGTTCTTGCGCTGGTTGGCGCTCAGGGTGCGCCATTCCTGGCGGATCTTGAGCTTGCTCAGGTTGCAAGAGCCACCAAAGGTGCGCTTGGCCATCTTGGCCGACGTGACGGGGATGCTCTCATTGTAGGCGATGCTGGCGAGGGCCGAGAGGGCATCACCCTCGACGATCTCCTCCTGCGTGAATTCCTCACGCTTGGGGAGGGATCCGGCGGAAACGAGCGAAACGGCCCAAAGGAGCCAACTGAGCTGCTTGGCGGCCACCATGATGGGCGGTGGTACCTGCTAGTGAAGGAAGAAAAATAAAAAGAATGAATGAGTGAGTGAACGAGGGGTGGTGAGGACCAAAAAAAGATGGGATGGAAACACGGGGATGGAGTCGTGAATAAGTAGTCGTTTCTGTCAGGCGCTTTACCTCCGACGATGCCGTGGCCCCCCGTCCATCTTGCGCCGGGGATATCTTCATCGCAAGGTCAATAATCCTCTTTTTTTGTCGACGCCGGGGTGGTGGTGTGTCTTGGGAGGGAAATTGACGGGTCTCCGGCCGGCATGTGGGGTCGCATTCTAATAGCGTGGTTTTGCTTTGACCCTTGGCGCAGGGTTGCGATGCTTCCCAATTTCCTCGACGTTGACAAGGACATGGCCTCGACATGGGCCCACCACTTCACGGGCCACACGCTGGGAAACCACGGTCCAGGTTCAAGGCGTGTGTGGGCGCATGCGACATCGCGCCCACGGGGTCGGGTCACCTGTCGAAGAGGTGCGTTCAGCGAATCCTACCTGCCAGATATAGGGGAACTGTGACGTTGTGCGACAAATATTGAGAACCTGTTTCATGGTTTTGACGCCGACTTTTTTGTTGGTGGATTGACACCGACTTTGTTGCGGCGCGGCCCGGGCTCGAGTCTCGCCGTTGCTGCCCGTGCCGAGTGCGGAGCGACGATGATGACGGGTGACGGGTGCAACGGGCCAAGCGGACACTAAACGACACCGAGGTGGATCTTAGAGAGTTTCTTTGGGTTAGGACCGGATGCCCCGCCAAATGCAGGCAGTGGCGCCGCCAGAACGGTGACTGTCTTGCGACATCCAGGGGCGACAGCATTTCCATTTTCCATGAGCATGGGATAACATGCAGAACAATTGGGGGTTTCAGAGCCGCCATTCCCTTCTGGAGCTAGCAGCTCGCCGAGCCTCCATGACAGCGGGGACTTTGCTGGGGCTTCCCCTGTCCAATGAAACGGTCTGTGCAGACTTGCGACACCGGCGCGTGCCAAGCCAGATCCCGCAGCCCGTCAAGCTCCACGTTATCTGTCGCTCCCGCGTCCCCGCAACCGAGAAAGAGCTTGTCAGCACGTCGAGGCCCGCAGTTCTTCGCGCTAGTTGTACACGGTAAAGGGAACGTTAATAATGAAAATACTTTGGCGCTAATAATAGGAGTTGACGTCTTTCTTGGACCCGGGAATACGAGTACGCTTCTTGTCCCCGTTAGCTTCCCCTGGGATGAGAGGATGCACCTGCAATTGCATTTGTCCAAAAACAGAGGAAAGGGGCGTTTTGGGAATTGAGGTACAGCGCCAAGTTCGCCATCCCGGACCCGCGGCGTGATGTTGACAGGGAGCCGGGGAGTAAGTAATGCGTGTTTCCTGCAAAGAGGCACAGCAGTCACTCCTTCGGCCACAAGTGGGCAATGCCCTATCGAGATGTCTTGCCAGGGAGGTAAGCAAAAAAGCGGGCAATCTGCTCCCGAGTTCGGCAACATGTGCGCCTTGGCCCGAAAACACACAGATGCACCACGTTGAGTTCAATCTGGTCCATCTCAAGCCTCCTCCGCGGGCGGCTATGGATCCGCATCTGGGTTTTGGTTGTCAATAAACGTGGCCTCCATGCGCCGCCACAATGGTGATCCTTCCTCTTCAGGCCCACCATTGGACCCTCACCACGGCCAGCGTTGCACTCACCGTCGGCAGGCTCCACCGAGCTGACCACAACTCACGCCAGACAGCTCCCAACACGAGAGGCTGCCTCTTCCATGCGGGGAAATAAGCATCTCGATAAGTCCAAAAAAGGAACGCAAAGGCGAAGAAAAGGGGGTAACCCCCAGCAAATCCGCAATCCGATTACGCGGGTTCTCGGCGGGGCGCCACGTTTTGCTGCACCTCTGTCACGATGCTGCTCCCAAGTCTTCGGTTATTTCGGCGAGCATCATGCTGTCCTGGCATCCATGTGCTTGGACACTTTCCCAAGGTCCAGGGCGAGATGCCAATATTGCGCACTCGGCGTTGGCACTCTAGAGGACCGGACCGGGCCCGCGTGCCGAGCTCTAACCACTTACACCTCTTCCGGCTCAACCTCCTCGCCACATTACCTCTGTCGATGCCTTCAGCTACGGTGAACCGCCCGATGAAACCCTCTTTGACATGTCGTCCTACGATTCCGGGCGCTTACACTCTCCCCAAGCAGCCATATTCGGCGACTCTATTGCATACCCCGTACGCCTGCATCGACTCTCGGACCATGCCGCCGACCCCTCTGATGCTCACTTGACCCAACACCACGGATGGGCCGCGGGCCAAGATGCAACTCTACGCAGCACCTCGGTCAGCTTACCCGTAGTACGCCGTAGTACAGAGGTTTGGGGAGATGAAATGCGGCGCAGCGTACGCCCCGTGCCTCGCTATTGCTTCATGTCTGCGTCTCGTAGTAGCTTTCGTGACACCTCAA